GGGCAGGACCTGTGTCTTGGCCCCTCCTGGAGGGGGTGACTGTTCAGGCTGATGGAAGGGAACTTGCTTCTCCAGCATGTGTGCTGTGGGAGCAGAGGCTGCCTGGGCACCGTGGGCTGATGCCCAGGCTCATGGGGTGTCTGGGAAGAGCCCCCCTGGGTGCGAACGCCCCCACAGGCAGTCCCCGCGCTGATGCCGGGAGTCCTGGCGTGGCCCAGGCAGGGTCCTTTTCCAGCACCTTCTGGGGCAGGGTGGGATGCCCTCCACAGGGGGCAGGAGAGGAGAAGGGCCATCCTCCAGGTCACACCCAGGGTCGCAGGCCCGGGACCCCGCCTGTGGTGGACGTTGTCTGCTCCGATCCCGACAGAAGCCAGAATAGGGTTCCAGGCTCTGGGAAACCCACCAGAGTATCTCGAGACGCAGGTTCCTCTTTCTGTTCAGCGCCGGCGGGTGGGCAGCGGCCTCCCCATGACTGGCCTGCGGTCGCCGCGTCAGGGTTTCCCTTCCCAGTCACGCTTCCTACCCGGCCAGATAAGCTCAGCCGCTGCGGGGGCGCGGGGACCCACAGACACTCGGGAAGGGGGGCTGGGGATGGGCAGGGGGTGAGAGCAGGCCCCCCAGAGCCTGCTTCCTCTCCTCCGGGCTCCTCACACCCCCTCCTTTACGCCTCAAGCTACTGATTCATTCCACGTCTTTTCAGAGCCACGCAGACAGCCTGGGCTCATCTGGAAACGTGTGTGTGTGTGTGTGTGTGTGTGTGTGTGTGTGTGTGTGTGAGCAGGCCCGAGCCTGCTTCCTCTCCTCCGGGCTCCTCACACCCCCTCCTTTACGCCTCAAGCTACTGATTCATTCCACGTCTTTTCAGAGCCACCCAGACAGCCTGGGCTCATCTGGAAACGTGTGTGTGTGCGTGTGTGTGTGTGTGTGTGTGTGTGTGTGTGTGTGTGTGAGAGAGAGAGAGAGAGAGAGAGAGACTGTTCAAGGGGGAGGGGAGGCCCGAAGTGGTTCCTGCCTCCAGCGCTTTGCACGGAGTCTGTTCCTCTGACTGGCTGACACTTTCAGGAAGCAGGAAACAGGAAACAGGCAGAAGTTTCCCCAAAATGTTCGTTCCTGGGAGAAGGGGGGCAGCGGGAGGGAGGCTCGCGGCTGCATGGAGCGGGTGGGTCTCTGAGAGGCAAACAGCCCCAAGGTGCTGCCCGACCCGGATCTGGATCGTGGGCCCGACTTGTCCGTTTGACCAGCCATGTTGATTATAAGAGGCTCCTGTCGCTGGGCTTGGTACTGACGAACCGACCCCGGGGCCTCAGGTGGCGACCTCCGCCTGGGCAGTCTTTCTGGGGCAGGAGGCGGTCAGGCCTCGGCTTCTCGGGCCTTTTGTCAACTTGTCCTTGGACCCCAAATAAGTTAAAGGACTGCTTTTCTACTTTAACACCAGGTCTGGTGTTTTCCATGAGGCCAAAGGGTTTCACAGGCTGGGGGTTCTTTGGGGAGAGTGGCAATTGGCAGGCCTCTCAAGCCCCTCGCTCCCCCCACAGAGCGTAGCTCCGGCTGCATTTCTGAGACATTTATGGTCTGGCTCCTCCCTGGGGTGAAGTGATACTTCAGGCTTTAATGTTTAAAGACACAGCCCCCCTGTGTGCTGCCCTGAGGCTGAGTACAGGCACTTTCCTGGTTCTAAGGGCGGAGAGCCCTCCGGGGACGCCCCGAAGACCAGGCTTCCTTCTGCAGCCCAGCAAGGAGGCAGGCCGGGTTTCTGTTCGTTAGTTTTTTAAAAATATATGTGTATTGATTTCAGAGAGAGGAAGAGCGAGAGAGACACATCACTGATGAGAGAGAATCACTGAACCTCTGCCTCCTGCACGCCCCCTACTGGGGATCGAGTCTGAAACCTGGGCACGTGCCCTTGACCAGGAATCGAACCCTGACCTCCTGGCTCATGGGTCCACGCTCAATCTCTCAGCCACGCCCGCCGGGCGAGGCTGTTTTTAAGACAAAGCACTTAGGGTGAGCGTGTCCCTGCGCCAGCCAGGGTTGGCTGCCAGTGCATTAGACGGGCGCACCTTGCCCCATCCGCCTCCAGGCCTTTCAACGGCCAGTGCTTCCCAGAAGGACTGCCCTTGGGACGCAGGGCGGCCAGTGAGTGCTCTCTCCCTCGCTCCTGCTCACACCCATGACCTGGAAGCAGCACCGTGCAGGGGAGGCTGACACGCTGAGCACCCCGGAGGGGATGATGCATCCCGCAGGCAGGGGCTGAGCCGAAATGCAAGGCTTTGGAGCGCATGGTCCTCAGGCTCCTGCGGGCTCCTGGGATCAGCTGGGCGCTCTCCTGGCCCCTGATTTTTTTTTTAATTGTGGTAAAATGCACGTAAAATTTTACCATTTTAGCCATTTTTTAGGGCTCTCGTTTTTATCATTTTAACCATTTTAAAGTGTACAGTTCAGCCTGGCGGGCGTGGCTCCGTGGTTGAGCATCAACCTATGAACCAGATCACAGTTCGATTCCTGGTCAGGGCACATGCCCGGGCTGCAGGCTCAATCCCCAGTGCAAGGGGGCGGGAGGGGGCATGCAGAGGCAGGCGATCAGTGATTTTCTCTCATCATTGATGTTTCTATCCCTCTTTGCCTCTCCCTTCCTCTCTGACATCAATAAAAATATATTGAAAATAAAATGAAGTGTATAGTTCAGTGGCCTTAAGTGCACTCATAGTCTTATACAGCCGTCACCACTACCCAGTTCCAGAATTTCTCATCAACCCAACCCGAAACCCCTTGCCTATGAAGCAGTCACTCCCCTCTCCCCTGCCCCCAGCCCTGGGAAACCCCTCATGTTCTGTCTCCATGGGTTCTCGTGTTTCAGATGAATGGAATCACTCAATATGTGGCCTTTCCTGTCTGGTTGCTTGCAGTTAGCATGATGTTTCAAGGTCACCCACGCTGTGCACGTGCCAGGACTTCATTGCTTGTTATGCCTGAACAATGTTCCCAGAAGTCCTTTATTTTTTCTCCTCTTTTTTAAATTAAATTGATTGGGGTGACATTGGCTACTATGAACATACAGGTTTCAGGTGTGGGTTTCTATGTTAGGAGATCTGTAAATTGCACTGTGTGCCCACCATCCCAAGTCAGATCTTCTCCCGTCACCATATCTTAGGACCCCCTTCATCCATCCCCTCCCTCCCCGGCCTTGAGTCCTTAAGTCCTTAATTGGGAGAATTCACAGGACGCCCTGAATGGTACCAAATGTCACCACTGTGGGCCAGGATCCGTCCTGTCACCGTTTCCAAGTGGGTAGGGGAGCTGTTCTGTGACAGGAGATGGAGCAGCAGGCAGAGCCCCCAGGCCAGGCCGGAGGGGAGAGCTGGGCTCAGGCCGGGAAGGGCTGAGCTCACCGCGAACAGGTGCTGTGTGTCTCCCACAGATGCAGGAAAAGGCCAAGGAGATCTACATGACCTTCCTGTCCAGCAAGGCCTCGTCACAAGTCAACGTCGAGGGGCAGTCCCGGCTCAACGAGAAGATCCTGGAAGAACCGCACCCCCTGATGTTCCAGAAGCTCCAGGACCAGGTAACCTGACCTCCTTGCCTGCGCCATGACTGGAAGCCGCCGTGTCTCCGCAGCCGGGCACGTGGAGGAGGAGCCGCGGCTGGCAGAGCGCAGAGGCCTGGAAAGCCAGGCTCGGGATTAACCCCCAGGCGGCTCCCCACGCCTGTGTGCTCTGGTCTACACACCGTGTGAACCGGCAGGGTGATCTGTCTTCTCAACGCAGGTCAGAAGGGAGGCTGGGGCTGTTTGAGGCATCCACACTGAGGAAGCACCCTGTGATACCCGCTGAAGGTAGGCGCAGACAGAAAATTCTAGAAAGCGAGCACAAAGACTCAGAATGCCTGGGAACCTGGGGCTGTTTTTGTGTGCAAATGTCCAAACATCATCACCTACGCCAGGCGGCCCAGTACCGTAAGCTAGTTCGTAATGAGGCCCCTGAGTTATAATGAAGGGCTACTATCTGGCAGCATACGTGTTCCACGTAAAGCAGGAATAATCAGGTTTAAAATAGACCTAGAAGGGGCAAGTTGGTTTTCTGGAAAATTCTCCTATGAGGAACGCCATGGTCATGGGCAATGGGGTGAAAGTGCACCCCAGGGGTTTTCACAGACACGGGCTTGCAGAGGTGGCTCCGTAGCGCGCCCCGTCCTTGTGAAACGTTACGCACACCTGGGGCACAGGTTTCTGACTTCTGCTGGCCCTGTTCTCACTGGGGAAGCGAAGGCCTTCCGTGGCACACAGCTGGAGACTAGCTTTTAGCCTGACTCAGCAGTCCTCCATCTGAGCACGCCCGGAGCCACCTGGAGGGCTGTTCAGGCAGACGCGGTCCCCATCGCCTGCGAGAACTGTTTCAGATGCGATGGTCCCAGGCGGGATGAGACGTTGCCCTCCCAACAAGGCCCCAGTTGACGGATGGCGATGCTGCCCGTCCTGGGACTGCACTTTGAGGACCACTGGTCCCTCCAGGGCCGGCCTTTGTGTAAGTGTGCACAGAGCCCATAGCATGCCTGCCCCAGCAGCCATCAGATAGAAAACAAATGCACACGCGAGAGGTAGCTGGCGGATGTTTTCCAATCGACACAGTGGCAAGTGCAAACTTCCCTGAATTCCGAATCAAATGTGGGTGTTGAAGGAACCCAGTGCGCACGGGGGACTTGCCGAGGGCCTCCTGGAGGTGGTGATTTTGAGTCAGTGGGAAGGACGCCATGCGTATGGGTTTGTGGAGGGAAAGGAAGTGAAATGTCTGACCCAAAGGCAATTATTTTGTGGCTCTAGCTGCACGAGGATGTCTGCCCCACCGGGACCGCAGTCTTTTCAAGGTTTCCTGTTGTATTTTAAAGTGCTGCCAGGGTTGAGAACTGTACTGAAGCCCCTGAGTTCTAAGCATTTCCACGAATCACAGTATCTGCTCTTCAGGGGTGCCCTGTGTGCCTGATGCCCACTGGGCATGCTGCACCCACTGCATCGCCAGGGAGTATTACTCCCACTTTGATGATGAAGAAGCAGGGTTCAGGGGTGCTAAATGGTTTCATGGCACAAAGTCACACCTGCTTTCACAGGCCACCCTCTGCTGCATTCACGGGCAGCCTGTCGCTGCTCCTCCAAGCCCAGGAGACCAGCTGGAGCAGAGGGGTTGGGAAGGCCTTGTCAGTACAGGCCCCCTTCCCGGCTGCAGACCCCAAGGGAGGAACAGGGAGGGAGACGGGCTGATGCCCCTCTATGCTCCGGGGGACCCAGCCACACCCACTAGAGCAGCGGTTCTCAACCTGTGGGTCACGACCCCTTTGGGGGTCGAACGACCCTTTCACAGGGGTCGCCTAAATACATCCTGCATATCAGATATTTACATGACGATTCATAACAGTAGCAACATTACAGTTATGAAGTAGCAACGAAAATAATTTTATGGTTGGGGGTCACCACAACATGAGGAACTGTATTAAAGGGTCGCGGCATGAGGAAGGTTGAGAACCACTGCACTAGAGTCATACGTGGGGCACTTTGCTGGCACAGAAAGGAGGCGCACAAGGGACAGAGGAAGAGCTTTCTAAGTGACAAGAGAAAAATGTTTAAAAAATAACTTTTATCTACCTAACTATAAAAGTCATACGTGCTCAACAACAACACCGACAAAGAATCATTATTTCATACCTGGACAGGACCCCTAACTAGCATTGGGTCGCTAGACTTCCGTCCTTCTTCCTACAAATGCATCCATGCAAACTATAAAAGTCATACGTGCTCAACAACACCGACAAAGAATCATTATTTCATACATGGACAGGACCCCTAACTAGCATCGGGTCACTAGACTTCCGTCCTTCTTCCTACAAATGCATCCATGCACCCATATCACAAATACGGCCCAACTCTTTTAGTTCAAACTACTTTACAGAAAGAAAGGACTTTGAATCCACTATTTATGGTTAACAAATGCTACCTTTTGTTGCCTGTCTGCCAAGGGACAGGCCAGGGCTTAAAGGGGAAAAAAAAGAGAGAGAGAAAAGGAAGTACTTTTATACCCTGTTGTTAAAAGTCAGTCTCTGAGCGGGAGAGAGAGGCCCTCGCTGTCTCTCTGAGGCTCACTTGGCTGACGACAAGGGGTGGGAATCTGAGCTGATGCCACAGCGAGTCCCTCTGAAGGGCCTCTGGGTGCTGTTTTGCCTCAGAAAACTCCGCCTGTCGGGGGCCTGGTAACCGTCAAAGCGTGTGCTCAGCACGCTCTGTGGGTCTCTGCTCCCTGAAGGCCCCCACCAGAGCCCGGGTGTCCTGAGCGAGGGAGTTTGGAGCTGAGGGGAGCCGGTTGGGCACCACAGGAGAACCAGCTCCGTGGCTTTGGCTGCGTGCATCCCCGATGGCTGCCCTGTCTCGGAGCTGTCTGAGCAGGCAGCTTGGTGCCCAGGAGTCCCCAGCTCCTGGTGACCTCAGCCCCCCCCCCCCCGCCCCACTTCTGTTACAGTGGGCGGTGCTCTGTGCTCTGGAGGCGGCTGATGGGGCAGCGTGGACTTTGGGGCACAGCCGGGACCTAGAAGGATGGGAAAGTCCTCCCCGAGCATCGGGTGAGACGAGCCCCCCTCCGTGCATCTTCTCCTGTTGGGGGTCCCCGCTCGGGTCCTGTTCGTTCGTGGTTTACACACAGTTCCATCAGGCTCTGGGGCTTCAGTCCGCAATAGATTGGAAACGCTGGTAGAGGCTGTGGGGAGACGGGCGGCAAAATCGACAACAGCTGCGGGGGAGGGGGGGGGCAGAGAAATGGATACTAAACACAAAGCACAGCACAGCGATCTGGAGCCCCCGAGCTCCGGGACCCCCACCCACACGCCGCACGGGGGGCATCCCTGGGCCTCGGGGCGGTGACGGGGTCAGTGATCTTAATGACCCCAAAGCGTCAGGCAAAACTTAAGCTGTGGCCAGTGCATTCTGTGAAGAACGTGTTGGACATTTATAATAAGCACTTCATCAAAATGATGTACTTTTAAAAATTATTCTGTATTTAATTAGGCTTATTGGGGTGACGTTGGTTAATAAAATTATATAGGTTTCAAGTGTACAATTCCCTAACAGGTCATCTTTATATTGCATTGTGTGTTCAGCACCCCAAGTGAGGTCTCCTCCCGTCACCATAGAGTTGGCCCCTCAAGCCCTTTACTGTCTCCCCCCAACCCTTTCCCTCTGGTAACCCCCCATACTGCTGTCTGTGTCTATGAGTTTTTGTCAAGATGCTAAGAGAAGTTTATAATTCTGTTATTTGGAAAACTTGTGTGAGCAGAGTGAGTGTTTCATAGAAGTCGGCTCTGAAAATGAAGCCCTTTGAAAGCTGCGCGGTGGCCCGTATTGTGCCCCACGAAAGATATAAAACCAAATCCTGCTCCTACAAGCTTCCCAGCACCCGCTCACACACCTCTCTTGCTCTGAAGCCTCTGGTTTGAATGGAACAGGAAGGAGATTGGAGAGGATGGAAGGTCAAGGTCGTTGCAAACAGCCACTCGAGATCATTGCTTTGTTGGGCCATGAAAGAGAAGGACAGGCTTGAGGGGAGCAGGTGCTCACTCTCCCTGGAAGCTTAGGGCCCCCAGGGCCTGCACGGGAGGCGGGTTTTGAGTGCTGCCAGGATGCCCTCCCCGGGCTTCGGGGTTGGTGCTGGGTCTGCTCTGGGGAAGGCGGAGCGGAGGTGCTGTCTCCACGGAAAAGGAAGCCTCGGCCTCTGATGCTTAAAAAAAAATTAAAACACAATTAGAAAGACTTGTGAGATGTGGGTGCCCGGCCACATCCCGAGCAGAGGAAGGGCCGTGCGCCGGGCGGGCCCCTTTTAGCAGCGGCATTTCTGTGAATTTCCCCAGAACCGAGACGTTTCAGATGGACGGGAGCAGGAAGGGTTGGACCCGCTGGTGAGGACCGGAGCTGGGGGCGGGGCTGCCATGCCTCCCGGGGCCATGGGGTGGGGGTCCTCTCCCACCCTCTGCTTCTCTAAGTCTGTGTGGCAGCTGGAGCTGGGGATTCTGGAATCCTCCGTCTTTCGGGTGCCAGTGGACACTCGCTCCCCATGGTCCAATCCGGCCCAGAAACAGGCCTTTTCCAACGTGCAGAGCCAGAAAGGGGTTTCATTCAAATGCGAGGAACGTTGGCGCCCTGCGCCTCCCACAGCTGTTCGCCTTATGAGGGGCGGGGCGGGAAGGGCAGTATCTCAAAGACTTTGAGATTTTTTTTTTTAACTTTGAAATGGTGTTCAGGGGAAGAAGAGAGGGGGTAGGCATCAGAATAGCATTTAACTCTCCTCCTCATGGCAGAAAGCAAACATAAAATACCTTTGCCTGTGCACAAAGAATGTCATTTGGGCTTTGGATTGGAGTATTATGGACTCCGGACAAGTGAACAAATTGTCACCGCGCCCCCCGCCCCCCCCCCCTCGCCAATGGGGCTGCCCAGGACCCACGGCCGGTGAGGGGGTTTTGCCCCAGCAGGGGTCTCTCTCCACCCACATCCAGCCTCTTTCTGGAGTTCTGATCCCCCCACACCTTGTC